AGTGAACTTTGTACTGCTTATGTTCATCACAAATAATGTAGGATTCTAAAGTTAAAATATTTTTTCAAATCGGTCTAGTAGTTTCGAAGCCTATTCAAAACAAACAAACAATGAAATATTTCCTCTTTATCTAGAGGGCGCCCGCGACTTCGTACGCGTGGACCACATTTTACCCCCATAAGGGTGGAGTTTCGTAAAATCAGTTTTTAGCGGACGTCTACACCCTATAAGGAACCTACCTGCCTGAAGTTTGTAGGTTTTATAGTTTCTGAGATTTCATTATTAATAAATGAGTGGTAGACTAGTGTAGATTTTAGTGTGAGCAGGTGCTTACTTCACAAACGCGTACACGCTTGTTGTCATAATGTAATGTATAAACCTTACATTATAACAAGTAACATAATAAACCTGTAAAGCTTTACCCATTGTATCTAAGCCCGCATTCAGTACTTCAAACAAGCGCTGTAAGCGATTTAATTCAGTAGTTGAGGCGACCACACATTACTGCACTTGCGTGGAGCGATGTACTCTCCCGGCTTGTTTGAACGGACACAACTAGGGTTGTTCGCAAACTTGTCGCGACTAAAACTTTGCAATAATTTAGTTTCATTCTGCCAATTATAAAACTGATTAACTGACTGAAATTACAAACAAGATTGCTGGCAGTAGCTAAAAAGGAGTTTCGTCTAGTAGTTATTAAACAATTATGATTTGCAGTCTACACAAAATTAAATGATGACTGTTTAAGTATCACAGCATTCATTCACACATAAAATAGAGCTACCTAACATTGGTGTAGTTTGTGTTTTTCATAACGTTGTCTGATGTAACACTGTCCGCCTAAATATAACATTATCCGCTTCTGGACGTACCTAATCCTCCTCAAGGAGCGCTAAGGAGCAAAATCTCAGGCTGATTGTTTAATCACCACAACATTAATTCACATACAATAAAATATAGTACCTACTATTGGTGTATTGTGTGTTTTCTAACGTTGTCTAATATGTAACCTAAATATAACATTGTACAATAGGTAAGTCTCCTCAAAGAGCACGGTCTCGCGCTTTTTGTGCAACTATCTGGAAATTGGTATACTATCTACGAACTACTAAATGAACACAAGTAACATTGAAGACTGTTCTAAACTCTTACCACATCCCTAACAACGCCCGTTGGTTGAACGAATTATGTACAAATGGCGTCGCATTTAGGGCTACAAACGGAGATTTTGTTACTGAAATTGGTCAAAGCAATAATGGATTTTCACAATGAATGTAAAGGGTTATTTTCAGTAAAATTTAATTTTTGGTTCAATACTCTACAATTAAGAGAAACGTTTTAAATTCACCAAAATGAATTCAAGCAATTTCTACCTTAAAACCTAGAAATGCTTTGATCATAAAATAATGAACTTCTTGACTAAAATGTGAAGCATCATGGCTAGAAGTTATGTTTTATTTAAAAAAAAAAGTGTGATCAATAGTAATGTGTAATTTTTTATTACTAAGAATTCATAAACATTCATGAGTTCAGGCAGTCAACATCACTTCTTCAAGTTATCTCAAGAAGTTCGTGTGAGGTTTCAGTAAATTATGCCTATCATTCATTCTAATTAGTTGAATCTTTTTTGTGTACTACTATATTATTTACTTGAAACGGGCTACCTATTAAGTGTACGACGCCATTATTGTAAGAAAAAAAAAGTAAATCTATATATATAAAAGAAAAGTCATGTTAGTTACTCCACTTATAACTCAAGAACGGCTGAACCGATTTAGCTGAAAATTGTCAGGGAGGTAGGTTAGAGCTAGGAGAAGGACATAGGATACTTTTTATCCCGTTCGAAATTTTTAAAAAAGTCTGCTCATTTATTGCCATTAAGGCGGAACAAAGTTCGCCGGGTCAGCTAGTCCTACGTAATTGAATCCTTGTTAAAACATAACATGATCCTCCAAATCCTTTTTTACAAAAGTCGTTCGCAAACCTTCCAGGTTCAAGTGGTCTCAAAGACCGAATCACTCAACTCGAATCCAATAACCACTGTTCCAATTTAATCAACGTCCGGCTCGGACACTCGTCCGGAGAGTCCGGAGTGTCCGGTTCAAGAGCTTTCAGGAGATGCAGGGAGTTTACTAAGGGTTAGATTGGTGTGGATTGTGAAAAACAAATATTGTTTCGAAAGGCATTAAATTAATTGCTTCAACCGTACAAATATCCACGATACAATAGTTCTAAACTGAATAGTTTGTACTCGTATTATGGCGATAAACGGATAGATATAGTAAACATAACTATGATAGATACTCATACTAATAAAAGTACCAGGGCAGCTTTATACTTCAGTATGTTCCCTTAGGTAAACACTAAGGTTAGAAGGACATTTTCGGCTCGCAGACAATGTTATTATGTATTAGGTATACCTAGATCTACTGAAATTCAATTAACCACAGGCTTAAATATTATGCTTCAGTTTCACCCTGTTTTGAGCGTCTTTTCATGTTTAGTTTTTCGTTTGGTACATTGGCAGAGGCGGACGATGGACCTACCTACTTTTAATGGTTTTAGATGTGTAATTTAATTATCTACTGATAACCTCTTAAAAAGTTATCCGCTGCTGATTCACAGCCGCCAGAACTTTTACATCAGTTTCCTAACAAACTAGACACCTAATAATTATGTAAGGTGTCCCAGTATTTAACCTTAAGTCTTCCAAAACATCTAAGCCCCAGTCGCCTAAGCCCGGCCTATAAACGGGGCCTGTGAGATCAACAACGGCGATTTTTCACCGGCTCCATTGTTTTTAATTGGTGCTTAGTTTTTGCGACGCCCCGCGACCACCATTGCGGGGTAATGAAGTGTGTGAGAACTTTATTGTTGGGCTCGGGATAGTGGACGGGTCCGCGTTTAGTTTTTATTTGAATGATTTTATAAAAGGGTTGCATTTGCAAATCGGTGACAAGGTTTTCCTTATCCAAGACCGTGGAACTGGAAAAAGTAAGAACTTTTTTTTTGCTTTTGGACTGCTATTGAGCGTGTTTTTACTATAATTTCACGTTTTCGTTGAGTTGCAAAAGGCTGTTTTAGCAACTCGAATTTCAGACTCTAAATACAATAATTACCAAATAGAATTAAAACAATTTATTTTTCAGTTAGTTTCCACCATTTTTTTCTATTCAATCAATATACCTTATATACCTACCTCCTAATAATATATCACCTAAGTTCATCCACAAAATGGATGTTCCATCTACCTATAAATTAATAGGTTCAACCTAAAATAATTTTTCGAAGTGGTAGTTAAAAAGCTCTCTCTAAAGCACCTACCTATGCAATTGTGTAATTGTACAGTCAGACGACAATAAGCTCTCACCTTTGCACTGCCTATTCACACACATAAATGAATCTTAAAAACCTCTAACTCAAGTAACTCAGTGCTCACAAATCAATCATTTCAATGAGATCCCAACCAACTAGTGTAATCAAGCACCACTCGGACTCGAATAAAATAAGGAGCGGGGTCCTTCAAGAAAAGTGTCTCCAATTGATGGTTCGACTCGGAAATTGAACGATTCGCCGAGATTCCCTTTGAAAGAGAAACTACTTGATTTAAATCTTTACGCGAACCATTTTCTAGAGGTCGATTAACGTTACAGATAGTTGTCATCGCACAATGAGGATAAAGCTGGGGCTACATGAAGTGTAAGGGTAGGTTTAGATCAAACCAGCGAATGATCATTCTACCCCCTACTTTAGCTTTGTTGTGTGTNTAAATAAAAAACATAGACAGAGCATTATTTCGTTGTTCTGATATTTTTTGCGAAGATTCTACACAATTTTGTTTTGAAGATTTGCGTATTCACATACAATGCTTGCTTAAGTGAATCACCAAATCGAACGCACAGCGTTAAATAGAGCTCTGTGATTGGTTCGTGTGTCACCCTGTGCAGCCACGCGCACTGTGAGCCTTCATAGTAATGTTTGTAAATACGGGAGCGGCGTAAGAGTGTTAGAGGCTAGAGCTTAATGTTATAGAATCCTAGTTCTTTGGTTTGTTGGTATTCGCGTGGTGTAAACGCTGATAGCGAACTTTAGTTTGCAGTAAAAGATCAAGTCAATGCTCTACTCAGATTCTAGCTTTCTGTTTGTTTAGTCTAAACCCCACCTTTAGGATAAAATGCCTAAAGCGAAATGTTGTGGTTTCCAAAAAAACTCAGAGTTGTAAAGCAGTAGCAAAAAATGGTTGAGCTAAACTTGTGGGTCAAAACAATTGCTTTTAATATTCCTGACAACTTTCAGGAAAATCCATGTCCCTTTGTGTTCCATAAAGTTTTTTAGAATCCGCGTCAGAAGCAACAGTCCTGCGGCATTTAGTTTTATAAAACCGTCACCTTTTGTTGGTTCTCCTCGCTGAGACAACGGGCCAAACTTTGAAGGTTTGACTCCCAACGCTCGAAGTTTAAGTCGACTTAATAACTTGAAGTCTTAAAATAGAGTCGTCTTATATTGAAGATCTTAATAATAACTCCAGGAAGCTTGAGGTTTTATTTAAAAACAGCGAAGAGCATATTTATTTTGAAGAACGTATGGCGAAAAATGTACAATAATCTTTACTACTTTTTTTCTTATTGAATTAGAATGTCAATTAACCAAGATAAATACGATGAGCTTGATTATAATCTTCCAGTTTCAATATCATACAAATAATATTAGAGTTCACATCGTATAAGTAAATACTCGTACCTATAGGTACCTACTTGAAATTTTCAACAAGGTTTATAAGCTTGTGAAGGAGCAAGGCGAATTCGGATGATTTTTGGGCCTTGGGAAAAGTAGGTATGTAATTTATGAAATTATGTATTCTGTGGTGAAGAATTAGTGTGACAGAAGTGTATATAATTATTGTTATTGGAAATCACTCCTTCTGCACGAACTGTAGAATGCACAAATTTTCACATTAATGTGGTTTTCTGATTAAAAAAATATATTAAGAAATCACTTACCAAATGTGCGTCTCTGGTAGTGAAGGTCACAGGGTCAGCCGTATCCGAGGCGGTGCAGGCGTACTCCAGACGGCCGGTGACCGTGATCAGCTTGCTGCCGGTCCTGGCCAGGTCGATGAGGTTCAGCCGAAGAGTGTCTGCTGAGAACTCCACCTGTTTACGACAGTTGTGACGTCGCTGTGATACTGTTGACTCATCAGTCATCAGCTGTGAAGTACCACAAACTGAAAGATCATTCAGTCTGTGGTATCACAGCTGGACATACGAAGAGCTGATAATGGGTCGGTAGGTACTCAAATGGAGAAGACGTTACCACAAACGTAATAAATAAAGAACGTTGCTTAAATATTTGACAACTTCAAGAAGAAGACAGTGACTGGATGTAGGGGCTCGATGCGCCTAAATGTTTTGTGATCATAGAGTAATAACGTAAATAAAATAATAAATAAGTACCTATGCCTACAATAATTTTTAACAAAATCGAGTCGTGGAAAAGCGTTCGTGATAATTGAGAGTCAAAAGCGAGAAAAAAACAAAAGAGTATCGATAGTGGTCGTCGAAAAAACGTGTAGTTTTCTTGATGGCCAGTGTCGCGCGCGATCAAGGAGGCGGCAGTGTGCGGCCTCAACAGAGGAAAACTAAATAAAAATAAAAATATGAAGCAAGGAGGTCTAAACTATAACCTAACGTTTTAAGCTCAATAAAAATGATAGACCCTTGCCCACAAACATAAGTGTCAATGATACTGGAACCTCTACTAAATTAATATTCCACAATACGTTTTGAATGCCTCCTCTTTTTGTTGAAGTCGGTTAAAATGATTGATCACCTTTAGTAGATCCTTTTTCCACGATCACAAGTGTCAATGATACTAGACCTTTATGTCCCTTTACTAACCTTCTTCAAGCAGCCAATGAAGTTGGTATGGACCCTCGCCCCAGGCAGAGCCCTGGCATTCAGGGAGCCTCCAACATGGGCCCTGGAGCTGGCCAGCATGGTGAAGGAGCCGGCCACGTGGGAATGCTCAGAATACACGTCGTCTACAATCGCTGATACCTGGAGGAAGAACACATATACTTAGTTTTTTAACTAGTTTTTGGAAGAACTCTCTATTGACGATTTTTTATCGATGCAAAAAGTCGTGGTGTGTATGTAACCGGCTTTATTACTCGTAAATAACGTATCAAAAGAAAAAATCATAACTCAAAACTAGTTTTTGTAACTATTCACTATTAATGATTTTCATCGATCCAAAAAGTCGTAGTGTGTTACCGGCTTTATCAGATGACGTATCAAAGTGAAAGATGGTAATTAAAATTGTATACTAGTTAGAGAAAGGAATATTTTCGGGGAAATCATAATCATTTCAACCTATAAATCATTTTAGATGGCCTAACGAAACTAAATATTAAGTCAAGGACATGGTAGAATACGTAACTTAATAATTCGACGATTTCTATTGTGACTGGGGCGTGTACAAGTGGTCTGAAAAGGGCCTACATTGAATAAAGATTTGAATCTTAAATCTATCTAAATATATAAAAGGAGAAACTGACTGACTGACTGACAGATCAACGCACAGCCTAAACAGCTAAACATAGGCACTTGAAATTTGGAAGGAACGTAGCTTAGGTACCGTAGAGGTGCACTGAGAAAGGAATTCCCGAAATTCCCACGGGAACGGGAATTAGCGGGAAAATCCTTTTTTATGAAAAATCTAAACCGCTTAAGTTAGACGCTTGAAATTTGGTATGCAAGTACCTTAGTAAACTTAAAGTTTAGGTACAACAGGATATTGCAAAATTCCCACGGGAACGGGAGTGAGCGGGAAAAAACATTTGTATGAAAAAATCTAAACCGCGTAAGATAGACGCTTAAAATTTGGCATGCAGGTACCTTAGTAAACTTAAAGCTTAGTTACAACAGGATATTGCAAAATTCCTACGGAAACGGGAGTTAGCGGGAAAAAACATTTGTATGAAAAAATCTAAACCGCGTAAGATAGATGAAGGGGGTATAACGGGATCCACGCGTACGAAGTCGCGGGCGGCCGCTAGTATAAATAAATAAAAATAAATGATCTTTGGACAATTTCACACAGCGCCAGCTAGCCCCAAAGTAAGCAACTTAATGCTTGTGTTATGGGTGCTAGCTTAACGGATATACTACTTATATACTTTTTTTTTAAATACATACATATTATACATAGTAACACCCAGACTAAAATATTTACCCTCCCGACTACATCACCACAAACGTAATAAAGAAAACCACTGTTGCTTAAATAGGTATTTGACAACTTCAAGGTGAAGACAGTGACTGGATGAAAAGAGCGGGACATCGTGCTTTGCGGCACTTTTTCTGGGTGTAGGGGCTCGATGCACCTAAATGATTTGTGATTATAGAGTTATAACGTAAATAAAATAATAAATAAGTAGGACCTATGCCTACAATATTTTTTAACAAAATCGAGTCGTGGAAAAGCATTCGTGAAAATTTGAGAGTCGAAAGCGAGAAAAAACAAAAGAGTGTCGATATTGGTCGTCGAAAAAACGTGTATTTTTCTTAGTGGTCAGTGTCGCGCGGCCTCAACAGAAGGAGACTTACTAAAAAAATAAAAATATGAAGCAAGGAGGTCTCAAACATTGCCTAAGAATACGGCCTAACGTTTTGAATGCTCAATCAAAAATGATTGATCACCTTTAGTGTCAATGATACTAGACCTTTATGTCCCTTTACTAACCTTCTTCAAGCAGCCAATGAAGTTCGTATGGACCCTCGCCCCAGGCAGAGCCCTAGCATTCAGGGAGCCTCCAACGTGGGCCCTGGAGCTGGCCAGCATGGTGAAGGAGCCAGCTACGTGGGAATGCTCGGAGTACACGTCGTCTACAATCGCTGATACCTGTAGGAAAAAAAACATAACTCACATAACGTTTTTGGAACAACTCACTCACTATTTAAATGTTTGTCAATGCAAAGAATAGTAGTGTATAACCGGCTTTATTAGATGACGTATCAAAAGTGAAAGATGGTAATTAAAATTGCAATACTAAAGCCTGGTCCGTGAGCACGTAGAATTTTGTCCAATGATCCTTTAGGCTTTAGTTACAAAAAGGAATATTTTCGGGGAAATCATAATCATTTCAACCTAAAATCATTTTAGGTTGCCTAACGAAACTAAATATTAAGGCAAGGACATGGTAGAATAATACGTAACATAATGTGACGATTTCTATTGTGACTGGGGCGTGTACAAGTGGTCTGAAAAGGGCCTCCATTGAATAAAGATTTGAATACGATTCTAAGAACAATATTACTTTGTTTATTTTCTAACCCTAGTCACGAAACGATTCTCGATAGAAAAATTGTTAAATACCGATAACATCCAAAAACAAGACAACATCCAATACCAATATGTATCCCAACACTTTGCTGTGATACACCATCAACACGAAAACTTGGAAGCCTTCAAGTTGTATCTCAAGACAAAGTTTTTTCATATGAAACCACCACACTGTTCCGCTCGAGTTATTGCTCATAAAATATATTGGATAAACAATTTATCCTAACTGAAATAACGTACGCGCACTTGCTAGGAAACAATGAACTTCAAAGACGTATAGAAAATATAATTAGCTTCCCCGTAAACTATAATTGGTTCTAGAATACATGAATTCCTTATAAATATGTTTATGAATAAGAATAGAAATGGGAAAGCTACCCAATTAGGAAAAGCGTCAGTTATTTCTAAAGACTTGTTACTACGAGTAGCTTTTGCTAGTTTCAAAATAACGTTTGCCTATGTTGTTGCTAAAAGCACAGCTTAATGTTTTCACTGTCACCAATATAAGAAATAATTTTCAATTTAATTATCATTCGCTATATAATTCCCTTTAAGTTCTATTTTCGAGGCACAAATTAGCCTAGATTATCTCAATTTAACTTCATTCAATTTAAATTATTATTTATCAGTTTGGTGATATTTACATGAAAAATAAATACAGTTATACTTTCGCATTTATAATTATAATTTTAGTATTGCTTATTGTTCCATATTTTTAGAAAGTTATGTAGAGGCACGTAAAATAATTAGTTTTGCATTGTTAGGTAATTAAAACTAAATTAGATGTACCAAGGTACACTCGTTCAATCTAGAACTACTTTCTAATTACACCAACAGGACACATTAAAGACTCCCTAATTAAAGTTTTCTTTAACGAAATAAAAGTCCGATTCTCTTCTAATTAAAATTTCCTTGCGTTTTTCATGGCCAAGGCCATCCAATTACCACCGACCTCCCGTTGTTCTTAGACAAAAGCACCAACAATTAAACAAGCTAGTTAATTGCTCGGAATTATGCATATACAGTCGTTCTGTTATACAAATATAAAATTCCCAGCGTTGAATATTCATTTCTAACTCCTAGAATACAAAGATGAAATTACACTGCAAGATTACTCGTACATGCAAAGAAAATGTAACATTAAAGGAAATTTCAGAGGTACGAGGAATTTTATATTGATTTACGTAGCGATAACGAACAAAGGGTTGATTTTCAGGTGATCAAAGAAACATGTTCATAATTGACTTACGAAGTTATCTTGCTCTGCATTGAAAATGCGTAGGCGTAATTTTATACGCGAGATATTGAAGTTGAAAGGAAGTTTTCATAGAATTTTCGTAAACAATATATGAACGGCAAAACGATGGGATATTGAAGGCAAAAAGAGTTTTCATGGAATTTTCTTACGTAAACAAATGAAATAATAAATGCCCAAATGATAAAATCAGCAGATAAATACAAGAAAAACAATATTAAGTATTCAGACGTTAGTCTTAAGACTCATAAGCTCAAAAACATGTTATTCTTACTGAAATGAATCAATACTGAATTCTTTTAGGCGTCCATAGTTGTGTTTCAAAAAATAAAACACAACCTCACAATATTCACCGCAAGTAAATTCAAAGGGCAATAGGCACAAACCCAGTTCTTTTAATTTCAGTTCTTTGGCACGCGCCGGCCATTGTTAGCATTGTCGTCCATTCAGTTCCAGAATGTTCCGCGGTGAAAGAACTAGATCGGCGTAGGAAAAATTTAATTGGGAATCCTATTTGCATTGCTTTATTGATGTTATCGAGTGGTGAATTAGAAAATAGAGGCAATATCATGGTTGGTTTACCAATATAATTGCTAGGCAATGTGTAGGTGGGTCAATTTTATTATTGGAAGTTATTTTTTTGTTTTTCATCAAATAAAAAGTAATGAAAATAAGCTTCTTAATTGCTGCCTTGAATTTGTGATTCAAAAAGTGTTTTTTATGTTCTAAATAATAGAGCTATTACAACCTAGATATGTTGACTTAAGTCAACAAGACCTAAATGTTTTACTTACCCTGCAAAAGCTAGTCAGTGGTGTGATCTGTAACAAAATAAAATAATGTCAGTAATTTAAATTATATCTCTAACTAAGCAATTTAACGTCAGTTTTTATTTCTTCTTTCAAAAATTATCGACTAAGACATGCAATAAGTAGGTCCTAGACATACTTAACTTCAATGCTCAGTAAAAATCGTTAAGACATGCCTATCTCAGGCAACTAATGAGAAGAAAGATCTGTTGACAAATTAGTATTTAGAGTCTCTACAGTTCTTAGTATCCGTGAACAAAAACACATTTACATCTAAAAACAAATGTAGGTATATCATTCCTAAACCCATCATTCACTATCCCACATTTAGCATAAACCCATAGAGCACCCGCGGCTCTGCGTTAACCCTTTACGGCCACGACACAACCGCAAAGACCTACATGCATAATTAATACAATAGGCTCTTGGATCAAAACTATTATCCGTGACGAAAATAAACTACTGGCGGTAATGGATTTGTTACATTGAAGTTTGCATATTTGGGGTTATTTTAATTGAGCAAACATAATATTTTATCGTAAATTGACTTGTCGAATCGTGGACATGCTTTGATTTTTTAAATAGTAATATGACAGATAGATACAATCACAGTGACTATTCATATCTTGGTATTGGGAGAGCGTATAATCTGAAAAAAAATAAGCAAATACGAAACACATTACAAAAAACCTGGCAATACTCTCACGTGACAAAACCCGTTTATAAAATAAAAAGAGCTCTTTTTTTCGCCCACCATTATCAACCGACACGACCGGAATCCTGTTAAACGTTTCCAGGCTCGTATTTTCCATCCCTGATGGGCCAAGGACGATCCGAATGGATAAATATCGGATGTTTTTATTAAAAAGTCCTCCGGGACCTATGTATGCGGGAGCAATAGCCGTCGGAAGAGTGACAGCGTTCGGGATAAATCCGACGTTGACGGGCATATTGTCATCGTGCCCTGACGTGCTCTAAGGGTTAAGAGATCGATCCGCCGATTCAATTATAGGTTTCATTCATCATTCGGCACGTAGAGGGTGATTTTTTATTCGAAACCTGAAGCCTAGTAAAAATTGGCATTTAAGTAACGTATATTTATTTCAATTCTTCATTGTAAACAGTGATATGACTGTTACATAATCATATAAAATGTTTGTGTTGTCGCAATCTAGAAGGAGATACTATTTTATTAAAAACTAGCTTTCCGCCCGCGGCTTCGCGCGCGTGGACTACATTATCTACATATTTTACGGAACCCTATTTTTTCCAAAATAAAATTTAGCCTATGTTACTCGTGGATAATGTAGCATTCGAATAGTGAAAGAATGTTTAAAAACGGCCCAGTAGTTTTTGAGCCTATTCATTACAACGAAACAAACAAACAAAGTTTTCCTCTTTATAATATTAGTGTAGATTACATTGCAATCGTTCATATAACTTAAGTGTTTCGAGTACACCTTAAATTTAACTCCCATAGCCTAACTAGACCTGTATCTCAATCTTAATTTTCAACGAATGGACATAAGATAGAATTTCAATTTTCTGATCACCAGTTAATAGAAATTCCAAAAATAAACCTAATCCGGGTATTAATCCAGACAGACGAGATCTGGAATTGGATTCACCTGGTGCGAACTAATACGCAAATTATTTACCCGGTGAGCGGTTCGAGTGAAATTTATCGCACACGAAATTGAGCAATTACAGACCCATGCTGCAATCGCTCACCCACCATAACTAATTGAGCGAACGCCTACATGGAAATTAACTTATTTTTGAAATTACGTACGTGGATACACTGTGACGTATATGGTATTTTTAGTAATGTTCACATAAGTATTACCTTTAGTTACCATTAGTAAAGTAATTTACATTTTAACAGTAGGTACATTATTATTATCTGCACTGACGAACGGTAAAGCATATTAATAAGTAAGTTTCGTAGCAGCGCAGAAACGCAATCATGTAAGAAAACTTTCACTTCTCCACAAAATCTTCTTAGCCAAGAAACACGAGCTAAAGCCGTAAATGCAAAATTAACCGCAAAACCAGACGTTAATGCTCATTTATGTTTAATACTCCATCCTTTTAACAAAATGGCAGGGCAGGGATCAAGAACATTTTATGTTGCCACGCTTATCAAAGTCTTTAGGGACCCATGAAAGGTTCTTGTATAGGAACCGTAGGCTTTGTCTCTGCCCAAATATTCTGGTTCATACAAGCACTTCGAAGGGTAGAACCAAGTTTGGCCAAAAGATGCCAACTCACGAAAGCCTCATTTGCCCAAACTTCAAGGTCACCCCGAAAAGCTTAATTTTGATTCAACTGAAATTCTATTCCGAATACAAAGAGCTCTCAACATAATGGCCATGTTGGGGATTCATTGAATTTACATGTTTGTTTTTTAAATTACCCTCGGGTGGGACCCGAATTCGCTTTTTTGGTAATTGTGTTGATACTATAATGATGTATTTACGTAAAATGGGTTTGCGATATCAACCTTATTTTCTGTGTTTCATATAATTTGCTTTGACGTGAAATTTTGTTACGAAATAAATTATTTTTATTCATTGAGAACAGGACAAAAATAGGCAAATGACACATTAGACTTCATTTAGGAAGAACACACACATTACATTTTTAATGTATCGTAAAACGTGGAATATAATAATTTATTGTGGTACTTTAAATTTTCCAAACAATTAGCGACTTGTTATTAAAAATTCAAATACTTTTGTAACAAACTAGGTCAACCATAAGTGTACCAATTAAGGTTTTAATGCGACAATTTGTACTTTATTCATGTTCCATCGATCCACAAGTCATTATTGCCATAGATTACGTTTCTGGGAATCCTTTGGTCATCGATTTAGTTTACTATTCTAGGCTGTACGTGGAAATATGGCGTCATTAGGAAAACTCATACACCTACGCAAGTAATGGCGTTTGTCACCTTGAATTTCTTGTTCTCAGAATGAATTGGTATGTCCTAATGGACAAATAACACTAACGAACCAATTTCATCAAAAAATTTAGGTACCCACGTTTTTTAAGTATTCAAATCAATCAGAAATGAATGAAATGCATGCCCCCAGGGTTTACGTATCCAAGGACACAACTTCACAAATTAGACAAACTGACTTGTTTTTCAAAAAATTAAACTCGCGTTGATCACTAGTTTCAATTGACAATTAATAAGGAAATAACTAGTTTTCATCGCGTGTTTAACTTTTTTGTAATAAAAGGGAAAAGGTTTTCATTTATGTATTGGAATTCTAGGAATTGATCTCGGGACCTAAATTTGAATGAATATGAATCTAAAAAATCCAACCTTTTTATTGGAAGATATCCAAAATTAAGAGCTCTTACGATTTTTACCTTACGAACCTTTACCTAATAGTGGCCACCGAATGAACTTTATTGAGACAGCATAAAGTTCAAAACAAACAAAACATACTCGTATTTTTCTCTAAGGGCTGATTTTTCAATCGTCAGATATCTTTTAACGGAAGAATAAACTTGTTTTGACATAAAATAATAATAATAATAATAAATACACTTTATTGCACACCAAACAAATAACATAACAGAAGAAAAGGAACACATATACACACACACATATTTCCCATATTAAAACTGTCAATGTGCCAAACTTATTCTTCAGTTAAAAGTTATCCGACGGTTGAAAAATCAGCCCTAAGACAGTTAAAATGTTTTATTTACTTTGGCACTTCTAAGATTTTGGTTTTATTGTACCTAAATTGTGTGCTCGTAGTTTGTTGAACTCAAAGGTTCTGAGGGCCTAGTGTGAGTTTACATCAAACGCGCTCACTAGCGAGCGCGTCAAAAATTGGCATTAAATGTATGACGGATTGTACAGCGCCCCTAGCGGGAAACGTTCAAAAACTAAAATATTCATACATTTTCACTCACACTCAGTGATGCAAACTCACACTCAGTCCACTGAGCTCAAAGGGCGTTTGGTTGCAGTCTGCTATAGGATACAGTCTGCGCCGGTTACAGGGTTAAAATTTTAACATACCTCTTGCACTCTCCTATGGACTGTCAGCTTATGCCACTGATGGTCATCAAATCTGGTTTTCGCCGGTTTGATGTGCATCTCCTGCTTGCCATTGCCGAGCCCCATGGTGAGGGAAACGCCACCATCCCGGACTGCCAAGTTGAGGTAGTCGGCTTCATGACCTGGAAATTAATTTGGATTTAGTCGAGGAACATTGAGGATATCTTAGAATAATAGTAAGGATACATAAGCTGTAATATAACTAAAGAGAAAGACTAGAATTACAGGTGGAAATGAGATGTCTTAAACGCACTACACTTGGGCATACCTGCCTAGTTACACTGGAATAAATTTGAAAAAAAAAAAGAATTCGATTTAATGCTCTTGTCAGCTTAAGTAATGTACTTTTTTAACTGTCTCGAGCATGTGTTTAAAATAATCATAATTTTAGATACTAAATATGCGCGAGAGTAAATATGGAGAAAAAAACAAAAAACTATCGATATTCATAAAAAAATATTATTTGCAGCCAGTACGCTGTCACTCGAAGTAGACTGCAATAGACCTTGGTAAATTAAGTACTTTTTAAAAACTACCAAAATCTTACTAGGAGAAAATTGACCTTTGGTTTAGGTAACTACAAGACTCTACTAAGGCCCAGTTTTTTTATTCGTAGTTAAAATAACCAATAGTCAAATTTGGCAGATGTCAAATGACAAATGGTTAAATATCAGAAAAAAATGTTTTTCGAACAATAATGGTTAGCTTGACTTTTAGTACATTTTTTAACTAATTGTTTACATTTTGTTAATATTTAACCATTAGTAGAAAAATTTAACAATTAGTTATTTTAACTATGAATCAAAAAACTGGGCCTAAGAAAATACTCACCGGTATAGAACAGCAATCAGTTAGACTGTCGAGTCTTGAAGTACAGCGTCAGGGCATCTTGGGTGCTGACATTTAGCTCTCCCTTGATCTGCGTGAGGTCGTAAGAATAACTCTGACTAAACTACGAGACCTTACTAAGAGTAAACTCACCGGTATAGAACAGCAGGCCGTTAGGCTGTCGAGTCTTGAAGTACAGCGTCAGGGCATCCTGTGTGCTGACAAATTGGCTGCACGAGGTCGCAAGAAGAATTCTGACTAAACTACGAGACCGTACTAAGAGGAAACTAACCAGCATATAACAGCAGTCCGTTAGGCTGTCGAATTTTAAAATACAGTGTCAAGGCGTCTTGGGTGCTGACAATGAGGTTTAGGTCGTACGGCTTAGATAACTACGAGTCTACTAAGAAAATACTCACCGGTATAGAACAGCAGGCCGTTAAAGTACAGCGACATTCGAGTCTTTTATGCTGACATTGGCTCTCCCTTGATCTGCGCGAGGTCGCAAGAAGAACTCAGAATCTACGAGACCTTACTAAGAGTAAACTTACCAGTATAGAACAGCAGGCCGTTAGGTTGTCGAGTCTTGAAGTACAGCGTCAGGGCATCTTGGGTGCTGACATTTAGCTCTCCCTTGATCTGCGTGAGGTCGTAAGAATAACTCTGACTAAACTACGAGACCGTACTAAGAGGAAACTAACCAGTATAAAACAGCAAGCCGTTAGGCTGTCGAGTCTTGAAGTACAGCGTCAGGGCATCCTGTGTGCTGACAAATTGGCTGCACGAGGTCGCAAGAAGAATTCTGACTAAACTACGAGACCTTACTAAGAGGAAACTAACCAGTATAGAACAGCAGGCCGTTAGGCTGGCGAGTCTTGAAGTACAGCGTCAGGGCGTCTTGGGTGCTGACGATGGGCTCCCCTCCGGTCTGCGTGAGGTCGTACGAGAGGAACTCGGCACCGCGAAAAGTCGCTTCTGATGGTGCCTTATCTGGAACAAGGAAAAAAAAATTATAATTACAATCATGTCACAAATAAGCAAACTTAAATTGCTGTGAATTATTCCGAGCTTAAATCACTGAATAGTTTATTATTATCCTCTTCCCCCCTGGATGTGATCAAGTATAGACGTGCATTTTACTGCGGATTTTTAAATGTATTTTATTAATATATATANCAATAAAATATATTATTATTATTATTATTCGTTGACAGCTCATCTTCACGTAAATGTCATCATCAGTACAAAAGGCTACACATAATTCTTAGAACATTTCATCTGTAACAATTACACATACAAGATGCCATAGTGTTTAGATTCATTTGCTCTCCTTTTTCATCATCATCATCAACATCGTCATATCAACCATAGGACGTCCACTGCTGAGTATAGGCATCCCCCAATGCTGTCTATTTATTGGTTGGTAGCGGCTTGCGACCTTTTTACATACCTAAGTGCAAATTTTGCAACAAAAAATGCCATGTGCTGTACGTATATGCTACGTCATTGTTTCGTAAAGGGGTTTGTATTTGCTTAAGCTGGTCATAAAGTCATCGGTCGCCATCACGCAACGTGCATCCAATCTGGTGGATTAGTCTGTCTCAGATTGAGAGCTAAGCTCCAGACAGCTGCAGCAAGGCAAGTGATGGCAGCACTGCAGTAAGGCTATTGTTGATATTTATATGTATATTACTGATATTATAAACGCGAAAGTTTGTTTGATAACATTAAAAAAACAAATATGTAGTCATTTAGAGATAAGACACTTCTTAGAAGTAAAAAAATATCAAACTAAGATAATAACTCAGCTCTCCTGAGTTATTTCATAAAGACATAAATAATAAAAATTAAGACAAAGTAAAATTGTTATTTTTCCAAAAAACAATAAAATGCCGAACGTAAACATCTTGTTTCCTTGTTTATAAAACACTAAAGATTATGCCATCAGACTCGCAGATAAAAATAATGGTGTCATTTTGTACATAAGCAAATTTACCTTCGCCGAGAACGCTTCGTCCCGAACGCAGATTTATAACACAAACAGCAATTTAATTTTACAAAGCCCTACAAAAGGAGTTGTTCAAAGTTACTGCTACAGTTTCTTGGTGGTTTAATTACGGCCATCATAAATATTGTTGCTGCTAACCAGCTCGAAGTTGCGATCGTTAATCAATTCGCATATACGCCTGGTGGCTGCATACATTGCACCGTTTGATTAGCAAGGAATAAATGATGGCTTTATTCTGTAGGCCGGTATTACTTTGGAAGTGCGCGTTGTGTTTTAAAGTTGTCGCGACTTGATTTCAAAAGTTTGTAGATAATATTGTATAAATGACTCATTATTGCATTTTTAAATAGTATCGGTACATACTTATTGGCACAAAACTACTTGTATTTGAAATAATAAATAATAATAATCATATTATATCAACACCGTAGTACACTATGTTTGTGTTAATAACATTGCAAACATTTAGGTACACTTTTGTACCTTTTTGGCCAGATTAGATGGCCAAACACTGCTGCACCATCTAGACTTCTAGAAGACTTGAATTCTTCTTTAAAAGCGCTATAACATCCCCAGCCAACCTTTAATTTAACCACATTTCAAAAGCTTGAGTATACTCCAGCATCCAGAAGGATATACCCTTCGTCGGTTAATTCAAAATGAGTTAAAGCCTCTCACAATATCAGACGGGATTGCTCTGTCCACACAGGCTTCATTAGGATGGGGCGCACTAAGCCAGCGTTACCTGAGTGGCCCCTTACTGTTGATCAAGACTCCAATGCTATTGACAGGACTCCAATAAATTTATATGTACACTTGTACCTTATTAACCTGGATAATCCTTAACCTTATAGAGGTGACACAATGTTAAAAAATATCATTGCTTTTCGAGCTGATAAATAAACAGGGTTCAAATGGTGGCTATAAAATCTAGCCAGTGCCCTTAACCTAAGACGGTGTATACAAATTTTGATAATTTAAATCGTTTATCAGCCTTCTTTACTGTTTTGAGTAACAGTTAGCCATAGATAGATATTCATAGCAATATAGATATTTGATACATGACAGAATTCATGCGAGTTACAGACCACGAGTTAAGCTAATGAAGTTTAGCTTCACTCGTATAGCTGACGCAGTTTTCCATAGTAATTGTATTCTTTGCAGTTTCCACAAAACTAAGGAAAACTGCAACTTAGCTTAACTCTTGATCTGCAACCCGCATATACCTAATTATCAATTTACAAGCAATTTTAAAATTATAAGAATGGAAATATGTAATTGTATTCAACGATAAAACGACTGAAAAGTAAATTAAACTTTCTAACAACAGTAATAAATATCATAGTTCCGTAAATTCCAAAGGCTGAGCCTGGTAATTCAGCGGTAACTCATGAAGGAATTAAAAGAATTTCCGTAGTAATGTAAAAGTAACTTCTTTGTTCTTAAAGAATGCTCGAGGACAAAGTTTAGGGTCAGATTAGTTGGAAGAGTCCCTCGGGAGTATTTCACGTCGGATTTGAGTCACTGCGAAAAAGCTAATAAAAGACCTTAATCATTTCTGCATAATGATAAAAAAACTTGGGTTTCGGGTCAAGGAATTTTAGTTAAAAAGTGTATATTAAAACTTGTTCTATAGTACCTGTAGAAGAGTCAAAATACGTGTTAAAGAATCACTGCATCTTTAGACATTGTAGGATTAAAGATGCTGGTTGGTTAATGGTAATTTGTAGATTCACAATGTAAGAGGCATCATGATATGAAATAAAATGTAAGTAAGTATGAAAAGACAATCATAAATAAAAAAAAAATACAATGATTTTACAAGAGCTCGGTATCGCATTTTCAAAACAATAATGAGTTCGGTTTGATGCAATTAATATCAAGCACATAATCTGTTCAACTAATAATAGTTAAACTTTAGTTTAGCACGAAGTGTAGGCGTTTCTAATCAAACTAAAATCTTACACGATAAAAATAAGTAGGTACCTACAAAAGTGCGAAGCAGAAAAGGAAAAGTTTCAGAAATAAGCGATAACAAAACAACAAGCGAACTAACCAAATTAGTAATTAAGGTGACCTTCCATAGTCAAAAGCTTGTTAAACGAAACCTTAAGCTTCCAGGAATAAAGGTCAAGTGGCCAGACATTGTGTTGAAAGGTCACGCGACCTCAAGAAAGTTACATTAACGGGTCATGTTCTCTACTGTTTGTGTCGCGCATTAACTAAATCCGTTTCCAACAAAGTTACCTAAAAGTTGCCGAATCGTAAGGGTGGGCAGAACTTACGGATATGGGTTTGTTCTCCCTTAAAATTTCAATAAAAGTTACGCAACTGGGTTTCCCATGAGTTATTATGGTAACAAACACAGTAGCAATTCGTATCAGTCAGACCTATGTCAAATATTGTCATTTCGTCTGTATATTTTTTCAATAAATAAAAATTGGTTAGTCATGAAAATTACTATAAAATAATTTTGAGTAGTGGACATAAAATTGGCTATAAAATCATGTTTTAATCCTAAGCTATTGGCATAAACTCCCAAATTTACGTGCAATAATGTGTAAATAAATAAATAAAATATTAATTTATTATTCTTTTTATCAGACGCCATGAAAATAAACTGAATTACCTTTTTTACGGCGCACTAACAGTTAATATGAAAGATGAATAACATAGGTCCTAAAACAGTTCCCTGCGGTGAACGTCAAATTAATATAACGTGTGTGCCACGTCATCTTATCATATAAGTACAAATAAAAACCTTCTACTTTTATTAATTAGGGCTACCAATCGATCAACATGGAAATCATTGGGGGAGGCGAGGCCTATGTTCAGCAGTGGACGTCCTATGGCTGAAATGATGATAATGACGATGATGTTCCTACGGAGACATCTCGTTTTTATGCAGGGTCCCGTTTAGTAGCTTAGTAGGTATACATGTTTTAATAAAATTTATCAATGTTCACATGAACATCCCGTTTGTAGTGTCCCAATAAAAAACAGTCCGTTCGAATTTGTAAATCGAATTTCAAACACACCACCCGTATTCACAACCGATGCTTGCTAAGAGATGCAGCAAATCGAACGCACAGCGTTGAACAGAGCTCTGTGATTAGTTCCCGTGTGACCCTGTGCGTCCACGCGCATTCTTTGACCTCATAGTACTGTTTGTGAATACGGGCGTTAGTATACATGTTTTAATAATTATCAATGTTCACACAAACATCCCCTAGCTAGTGTATCTAATTATAGTGTCCCGCAAAAAACCGATCAATTCGAATTTGTAAATCGAATTTTAAACACACATAATGTGTGTTCACACGACAGTCCAGTTTTCCGGGATCCAGTAATTTAGGATTGTCATACATATTTGAAAATGTTCTTTGATCAAAAGCTTTTATCTTGAATCTTCTGTGGTTTATTCAAGTATCAAACCGACTCCGCCATGACCGTGTAAGAACCATTAGTTAGATTGAAGATGGCTTGACAGAATCGATCGCTTAACATGCATTATCCATTAGAGTCAGACGCGTTTAATATTTGATGTGCTTACACTCAAGACCCATCTATAATCGTAGTGTAACCACACACGTGGACTTGTCCTCATGGAGACATGCCGTTTTTTGCAGAAACTGGTTTCTGCGGGATCCCCTTCTGCATGTATACGTGTTTTATTAATATTAACGTTCACACGAACATCCCGTTTGCAGTGTCCCGTAAAACCGATCATTTCGAATTTGAATTCGAATTTCAAACACACATAATATGTCCAGTTTTGCGGTATAATGCATTATTAGATCCCGCAAAACTGGATATCCGTGAGAACAAGCCTTACTGTGTTGTTTTCGTTGTTAACACAACCCAAAACTAGCAAACAAAAACGAAACATTCCACGTTTACGTCCGCAACTTTTATTACCTCATTGACTCTCGAAACAACGTTCGCAGAACTTTCTGTACACACTGACGCGCAGTGGCGGGGCAAGACCTAAATTTGATGTGGGCAAGACAGATTTCGCGAGGCCTTGTTCTGTGGCGACCTGAAGACGGATTTTATGAAATAATAAAAAAAAAACGGGTCAATGGTCTATTCATTGACAGTTTCTGATTTCTTGATTCAGTGATTATTTTTAAAGGAATTTTGCGCCAAAGAATAATGTTTGTCACTTAAAACCGTGTTGTTGCTTAATTTTGTGTCTGATTATGGCTGAATTTGTTTGGAAAAAAATAAATTAACTACATTGTTTAGCTATCAATAATTTATCCTACTAATATTATAAATGCGAAAGTTTGGATGTNTTCCAACTACACTAAAAACCAGACACACAAATTTTACTTACGTCAGTAGTCGCGCAGTGAGCAATTTGCCGCAAAACGTGACATACGTTCAACAATCGTTCTCTATTGCGGTCACCTGCGCACTAAATTTCTTCTAATTTCTAATACATGGAGGTGAAGTATGGGGAGGCAGCTACTGAAACGCTTGACTTTAACAAACGCATCGTGTAGAAAATAACTCGATTTTTTTGCCGAGGGCGGCAAAATGCTCATAGCGCGAGCACTCTAGGGTTAAATGTATGACGGATTGTACAGCGCCCCTAGCGGGAAACGTTCAAAAACTAAAATTTTCATACATTTTCACACTCACACTCAGTGATGTATACTCACACTCAGCCCACTGAGCTCAAAGGGCGTTTGGTTGCAGTCTGCTAAAGGATACAGTCTCCGGTTAAAGAGTTAAAATTTTAACGTACCTCTTGCACTCTCCTATGGACTGTCAGCTTATGCCACTGATGGTCGTCGAATCTGGTTTTCGCCGGTTTGATGTGCATCTCCTGCTTGCCATTGCCAAGCCCCATGGTGAGGGAAACGCCACCGTCCCGGACTGCCAGATTGAGGTAGTCGGCTTCATGACCTGGAAATGAATTTGGATTTAGTCGTGGAACATTGAGGATATCTTAGAATAATAGTAAGGACACATAAGTTGTAAATGCTTATAAATAGAGAGAGACTAGAATTACAGGTGGAAATGAGATGTCTTAAACGCACTACACTTGGGCATACCTACCTAGTTATACTGGAATAAATTTGAAAAAAAAAAGAATTCGATTTAATGCTCTTGTCAGTTTAAGTAATGTACTTTTTTAACTGTCTCGAGCATGTGTTTAAAATAATCATAATTTTAGATACTAAATAGTTTTGTGCATTAAAACACAAAGAAACTGCGCGAGAGTAAATATGGAGAAAAAAACAAAAAACTATAGATATTCATAAAAAAATATTATTTGCAGCCAGTACGCTGTCACTCGAAGTAGACTGCAATACACCTTGGTAAATTAAGTACTTTTTAAAAACTACCAAAATCTTACTAGGAGAAAATTGACCATTGGTTTAGGTAACTACGAGACTACTAAGAAAATACTCACTGGCATAGAACAGCAATCAGTTAGACTATCGAGTCTTGAAGTACAGCGTCAGGGCGTCTTGGATGCTGACATTTGGCTTTCCTTTAACCTGCGCGAGGTCGCAAGAAGAATTTTGACTAAACTACGAGACCGTACTAAGAGGAAACTAACCAGTATAAAACAGCAAGCCGTTAGGCTGTCGAGTCTTGAAGTACAGCGTCAGGGCATCCTGTGTGCTGACAAATTGGCTGCACGAGGTCGCAAGAAGAATTCTGACTAAACTACGAGACCGTACTAAGAGAAAACTAACCAGTATAAAACAGCAAGCCGTTAGGCTGTCGAGTCTTGAAGTACAGCGTCAGGGCATCCTGTGTGCTGACAAATTGGCTGCACGAGGTCGCAAGAAGAATTCTGACTAAACTACGAGACCGTACTAAGAGGAAACTAACCAGTATAGAACAGTAATCCGTTAGGCTGTCGAGTCTTGAAGTACAGCGTCAGGGCGTCCTGTGTGCTGACGATGGGCTCCCCTCCGGTCTGCGTGAGGTCGTACGAGAGGAACTCGGCGCCGCGAAACGTCGCTTCTGATGGTGCCTTATCTGGAACAAGGAAAAAAAAAATATAATTACAATCATGTCACAAATAAGCAAACTTAAATTGCTGTGAATTATTTCGAGCTGGGGACACTAAATAGTGTTTTATTCGTCGATAGCGCATCTCCACATAAATGTCACCAGTACAAAAGACTACACATTATTAGAACTTTACATCAGTAACAACTACAAGATGCCATAGTGTTTGGCTTGATATGCTGTCCTTTTTCATCATCATCATCAACATTGTCATATCAGCCATAGGACGTCCACTGCCTGCTCATAAAAGGCATCCCCCAATGCTTTTTTATAGGTGCAATTTTGTAGCAAAAAAGTGCCATGTGCTGTACGTATATGCTACGTCATTGTTTCGTAATGGGAGTTTGTATTTGCTTAAGCCGGTCATAAAGTCATCGGTCGCCATCACGCAACGTGCATCCAATCTGGTGGATTAGTCTGTCTCAGATTGCAAGCTAAGCTCCAGACAGCTGCAGCGAGGCAAGTGACGTCATGTTACAGTGAGGCTGTATTATTAATACTACTATATAAAATTAAAAAAGTAAATGTATAGTCATTTGAAAACGAAACACTTTTTACAAGTAGAAACTAAATATCGAATTAAGATAATTATTTTACTCAGGAGAGTTTACACAAAGGCTGGGTTGCACCATCTGACTTTAACTGTGACAAACGTCAAAAATCTGTCAAACTCCATACAAAAAACACCGGTTATGGTTATACCTAGTTGCCGTCAAAGTTAGGTGGTGCAACTCAGCCTAACAGTTATTTCTTGACACGGACAAAAGTAAACCTGAATGTACGCAATTTTGTCAACGCAAGCACAGTGTACGGCGTTCATTATTTTAAAGATGATTAGATTAGTTTAAATACAAGTAGTTTTGTAGCAAAAAATAATTTAAAAAAAACGTACAATTTCTTCTATTAGCTCCAGAGTTTTAAAACCAAGCCGCGAAAACTGTAAGACATTCCAGCGCATACTTCCAAAGTAATACCGGCCTACAGAATAGAGTGATCATTTATTCCTTCCTAATCAAACGGTGCAATGTATGCAGCCACCAGGCGTATGCGAATTGATTAACGATCGCAACTTCGAGCTGGTTAGCAGCAACAATATTTATGATGGCCGTAATTAAACCACCAAGAAACTGTAGCAGTAACTTTGAACAACTCCTTTTGTAGGGCTTTGGAAAATTAAATTGCTGTTTGTGTTATAAATCTGCGTTCGGGAACCTTTCTTGGCGAAGGCAAATTTGCTTGTGTACAAAATGACACCATTATTTTTATCTGGGAGTCTGATGGCATAATCTTAAGTATTTTAGAATTTTATAAACAAGACGTTCACGTTAGGCATTTTATTGTTTTTCGGAGATTATTTTACTTTCTCTAATTTTTAATTTTCATTATTTATATCTTTAAAGGTTCAGCCAAACCAACGCTATCACACGCGATCAGCTGGCGTGCAGCGATGGCAATCAATGCATTTAAGTCTAATGATTAGCTAAGAGATGGCCAAACGCATTTATGACTGCCACAACATCTAGACTTCTAGATTGTCTGTATTCTTCTTTGAAAGCCCTTTAATGCCATTTTCATTTAACCACATTTCAATACTGGAGTATACTTCGTTGGTTAATTCAAAATGAGTTAAAGCCTCTCACAATATCAGACGGGATTGCTCTGTCCACACAGATTTCATTAGGATGGGGCACATAAGCCTGTGTTACCTGTCTGAGTGACCCTTTATTGTTAATCGAAGAACCAATGCTATTGACAGGAGCTTTTGACGTGCACTTGTGCCTTAATAACCTGCATAATCCTTAAGACGGTGTATTAAGTATCAACTTTTGATAGATCAAATCGTTTATCAGCCTTCTTTACTGTTTTCGATAACAGTTAACCAAAGACAGATTTCTATAGTAATACAGATATTTGATACATGACAGGATTTGCAGACTGTGTGACTGATGCAGTTTTTCATAGTATTTGAACTCGTATAGTTAACGGTTTACACACAACTAAGTAAAACTACGTCAGCTATGCGAGCTAAGATTAACTTAACTCTTGATCTGCAATCCGCATAAATATCAATTACCGCAATTATAAAAATATAAGTAAAAAACACGTAATTTTATTCTTCGATAAAACGACTGAAAAGTAAATTAAACTTTCTAACAACAGTAATAAATATCATAGTTCCGTAAATTCCAAAGGCTGAGCCGTGGTAATCCAGCGGTAACTCATGAAGGAATTAAAAGAATTTCCGTAGTAATGTAAAAGTAACTTCTTTGTTCTTAAAGAATGCTCGAGGACAAAGTTTAGGGTCAGATTAGTTGGAAGAGTCCCTCGGGAGTATTTCACGTCGGATTTGAGTCACTGCGAAAAAGCTAATAAAAGACCTTAATCATTTCTGCATAATACTGACAAAAAAAACTTGGGTTTCGGGTCAAGGAATTTTAGTTAAAAAGTGCATAATATAACTTGTTCTATATTGTACCTGTAGAAGAGTCAAAAGACGTGTTAAAGAATCACTGCATCTTTAGACATTGTAGGATTAAAGATGCTGGTTGGTGAATGGTAATTTGTAGATTCACAATGTAAGAGGCATCATGATATGAAATAAAATGTAAGTAAGTATGAAAAGACAATCATAAATTTAAAAAAAACAATGATTTCACAAAAGCTCGGTATCGCATTTTCAAAACAATAATGAGTTCGGTTTGATGCAATTAATATCAAGCACATAATCTGTTCAACTAATAATAGTTAAACTTTAGTTTAGCACGAAGTGTAGGCGTTTCTAATAAAATCTTACACGATAAAAATAAGTAGGTACCTACAAAAGCGCGAAACAGAAAAGGAAAAGTTTCAGAAATAAGCGATAACAAAACAACAAGCGAACTAACCAAATTAGTAATTAAGGTGACCTTCCATAGTCAAAAGCTTGTTAAACGAAACCTTAAGCTTCCAGGAATAAAGGTCAAGTGGCCAGACATTGTGTTGAAAGGTCACGCGACCTCAAGAAAGTTACATTAACGGGTCATGTTCTCTACTGTTTGTGTCGCGCATTAACTAAATCCGTTTCCAACAAAGTTACCTAAAAGTTGCCGAATCGTAAGGGTGGGCAGAACTTACGGATATGGGTTTGTTCTCCCTTGAAATTTCAATAAAAGTTACGCAACTGGGTTTCCCATGAGTTATTATGGTAACAAACACAGTAGCAATTCGTATCAGTCAGACCTATGTCAAATATTGTCATTTCGTCTGTATATTTTTTCAATAAATAAAAATTGGTTAGTCATGAAAATTACTATAAAATAATTTTGAGTAGTGGACATAAAATTGGCTATGAAATCATGTTTTAATCCTTAGCTATTGGCATAAACTCCGCAATTTACGTGCAATAAAGTGTAAATAAATAAATAAAATATTAATTTATTATTATTTTTATCAGAAGCCGTGAAAATTAACTAAATTACCTTTTTTACGGCGCACTAACAGTTAATATAAAACTCAATAAAACTCATTTATTTCTGTAAATAGGCTTAAAAAAAGCAATTTTACAAAAAGCACAGTATGAAAGATGAATAACATAGGTCTTAAAACAGTTCCCTGCGGTGAACGTCACATATTTTACGAAACTCCACCCCTAAGAGGGTAAAACGGGATCCCCGCGTACGAAGTTACGGGCGGCCGCTAAGTTAAAAAAAAAAGTAGTAAATATACATACGGAACCTACCTACTTTTATTAATTAGGGCTTGTTCCTTAGAAGACATCTCGTTAATAGCTTAGTTTAATAATTATTATCAATATTCACGCGAACGTTCCGTTTGTACTGTCCCGCAAAAAAGCGATCCGTTCGAATTTGTAAATCGAATTTCTAACACTCTTATGTCTGTCCAGTGTGCCTACCATGAGTTTACGTTAGGTGTGCTCGCTAGCGACTGCGTAAAAAATGACATTTAAATGTATGACATATTGTGCAGCGCCCCTAGCGGCTACTTTCAAGAAATAAAATCTTCATAGAACTTTTTGACGTATTCGCTAGCGAGCTCACCTAACGTAAACTCATGGTAGGCACACAGTTCAGTTTTTCGGGAGTAATGCAGGATTGCCTGCATATTTAAAAATGTTCTTTGATCAAAAGCTTTTATCTTGAATCTTCTGTGGTTTATTCAAGTATCAAACCAACTCCGCCATGACCGTGTAAGAACCATTAGTTAGATTGAAGATGGCTTGACAGAATCGATCGCTTAACATGCATTATCCATTAGAGTCAGACGCGTTTAATATTTGATGTGCTTACACTCAAGATCCATCTATAATCGTAGTGTAACCACACACGTGGACTTGTTCTCACGGAGACATCCCGTTTTTTGCAGGAACTGTTTTCTGCAGGATCCCCTTTAGCAGCAGGTATTCGTGTTTTAATATAACGTTCACGCAAACATCCCGTTTGCAGTGTCCCTTAAAACCGATCATTTTGAATTTGAATTCGAATTTCAAACACACATAATATGTCCAGTTTTGCGGTATTATACATTATTATTAGATCCCGCAAAACTGGATATCCGTGAGAACAAGCCATTCTGTGTTGTTTTCGTTGTTAACACAACCCAAAACTAGCAAACAAAAACGAAACATTCCACGTTTACGTCCGCAACTTTTATTAGTACCTCATTGACTCTCGAAACAACGTTTGCAGAACTTTCTGTACACACTGACGCGTAACCTAATTTAAATTTACATACTAAGCTGTTCGAGTCAGCAATGTAAGTTGAAATGAGCGATTGCGTCAGTGCCACTTGGTTATATGGAGTCGTAGCCTTTTCGGGTAAAGGAATGCCATATTGGTTTTGGGATAGGCGTGCGAAACCCAATTTCGCTGGGTACCGTGTGCCAACACTGTATGCAAATTTTGTCCAGCGGTTTATTCTAACTCTACTACCTGCTTTAATGTAAACTTTTGAAAACTAAATTGCTCTCA